TCCATATCCATTCCTTATCCATCCACAGCCATTCCTTATCCCTCATCCCATCCCTCCCCAGCCCTTCCTTATCCCCATTCCTTATCCCATTTCCCCACTCCGTATCCAGCAAATCCCCTCAGCCAAGCTCTGTTTGCACACCCAGAAACCACCCAGGGATTCTGATCCTGGGCTGAGATTTCCTGCTGTGTCCTGCAGAGCCACGGGACAGCACAAACCCTCCCCCAGCCCACAGCTCCTCGTGCCAAGGGGATTAAAATCCAGGATCTTGCAGGACAAACAAGGACACTTCCCCTGCTCCCTTTCCTTTCTCCCTCCTCCTTTTCACCCAAACCCTTTGCAGAAACTCTCCTGGTCTGGCAACCCACGAGGTTCCCACGCCTTTCCCCCTCCCTGGGTGAGGAGGGACCCTCTGCTCCCATGGGAATCCTCTCCAGCCCCCCCCGAATCCCACAGGGATATTTGCTTTGGATGTGACACCGGGCTGGGGTGACTCGAAGTGACCTTTCCTGTTTTCCCAGTCAAGGCCTCGGATCAAGGCACAAAATGTTGGGAATTAATCCCCTCCAGGGGAGCTGCTGGGCTGGGAGAACGGATCTGGTGGGAGCTGAGTGGGGATCCCCCAGCTCTGCTCAAACCCTCCCTGGTGCTGCCGAGGAGGTTTTGGGGACACCCAGCAGTGCCAGCCCCACCCTGGGGACACCTGGAGGCTCTCAGCATCCCCCAGGGTCACATCCTGAAATTAATCCTGAGGATTGCCAGGCTCAGCCTGCCTGGGAGGGAAGCCCAGATTCCCTGAGGGATTCCCAGCACCGGGCTGGGAGTTATGGGGCAGAATTCCCTCAGCCCAACCCACCGGATCCCCCCAAAAACAACCCCAAAATTTGCCTGGAGAGCCTTCCCAGGCAGAGAGGTCTCTTCCCACACAAGGACACTCCATGGTCACCCCATTGTCCTCCTGGTTTTTTCTCTCCCAAAAGCTGCCAGACCAGTAGGACCGGATTGGATTCTCTTCAAGGGATTTCTATTTTACTTTTTCTTTTTTTTTTTTTTTTTTTTTTTTTTTTTTTATTTTCCCTGTCCCCAAATTTATCCCTCCTTCCTCAGTCGTACAGAAAAAAAATGTGGGTGTTGCTGTGCAGTTTCGGGTCACATTTGTCACCTTTTTGGGGGTTGTTGTTCAGGCTGGAACCTTTTGGAAACCGCTTGGTCTGGACACCAAACCTGCACCGTTTGATGCCAAAAGATAAAATATCCGATTCTGGTCACTCTTGGAGCCAATTGAGGACAAACGATAAGGTGACAGATAAGGGAGTAATCAAATAAAAGCCCACGAGGAGCTGCATGTGCAGGAGGAAACAGGATCCTGCTTTTCCATGGATAATCCTCGGGGCCTGTGGATCCTCTGGGATAGGGGGAGTGCCCCTGGCTCCTCTTTTTCTCAGCATTTTTTAACCAAATCTCCCCAAATTACCCGAAAAACGGATCCCTCCGGCATCCTGTGTGGAATTGGGCTGGAAGTGGAGCAGGAGGGCTCAGGGCAGGGAGGAGGGGGCACAGATCAGATCCCCCCCACACAAACCCCAAACCCCAAACCCCAAACCCCAAACCCCAAACCCCAAACCCTGCCTGGGCCCAGCTCAGGAACACAAAAAGGACGCTCAGAAGTCTCCCAAATTTTCAAAGGCAGCCCCAAAGCGTTGTCTGAAGAGCAAACATCCCCCCGTGCCAGGCCCTGGGGCTGGGGGCAGGAGCACGGTCCCATCCCAGGAGCTGATCCCAAAAATCCTCCTTTGTTCCTCAACTCCTGCCAGTTTTTGCGGTTTGATTTTTTTTATTTTTTTTTTTTCCTTTTTTCTCCTCTTTTCTCCCCTGTCAGGTAACAATGGCTCCTTTCAGGCCCTGCCAAAGCCCTGCTCCGATAAGAGCTGGCAGCAGAGGGAACTGCCATCAATATTTGGGTGAATTTTAACTCCCTGGGGACGGTCTAAGGGGGGGGAGAGGATCAGCTCAGCCGGCTGAGCACCTGGCCTAGGGTTAAAAGCATCATTTCCAAACGCATCTCCCTGCCCACATCCCCCCAATTCCCGGCAATTTTCTCTGCAAAAACCGCGCTTAGAGCCGGGACTAAACCTCCAGGCGGGCTCCGCACCCAGGTACGTCCTCCCCACGCTCCTTCCCTTTGCTCCGCTCAAATATTCCCCTTAAACCCGGCTTTATTTTGGAGGAGTGCTCCCCTAAAATATTCCTTTGCGCCTCTCAAATATTCCCTTTAAACCCGGCTTTATTTTGGGGGAGTGCTCCCCTAAAATATTCCCCTTAAACCCGGTTTTATTTTAGAGGAGTGCCCCACTCAAATATTCCTTTGCTCCACTGAAACCTTCCCCGTAAACCCAGCTTTATTTCGGAGGAGTGCTCCACTCAAATATTCCTTTGCTCCCCTAAAATATTCCCCTTAAACCCAGAACCCGGCTTTATTTTGGAGGAGTGCTCCACTCAAATATTCCCCTTAAACCCGGCTTTACTTTAGAGGAGTGCTCCACTCAAATATTCCTTTGCTCCCCTAAAATATTCCCTTTAAACCCGGCTTTATTTTAGAGGAGTGTTCCACTCCAATATTCCTTTGCTCCACTAAAACCTCCCCCTTAAACCCGGCTTTATTTTGCGCCCAGCAGAGCTCCCAACCCGAATTTGGGAATTCTGCTGCGTTTCCCTCCTGATTTTCCCTTTCCCAGATGGGTCTGGATGTGTTGTAGGAGCCCAGGATTAGAATCGAGAGCAGCTGGAACCTGACAGCAACTGTAACTCCACGCCAAGGTACATATAAACCGTATTTATAATCGGGTTTTTCCCTCCAGAAAATTCAATGATATTCTGTCAGGCAGCCGGAGACTTTTCTGTGTTATTATTAAGAGCTAGCAAACATTTCTCGGGAAGAAAAAAAATAAAATAAAATAAAAAACCTAGAGCTGGAGGGTGTTATGCTCAGAATAAACTTTTCCCACTTAGCAGCAGGATGAGCTTTTTTTTCATCCCAAAAAAAAAAAAAAAAAAATCTGATTTTTGCCAAACTAAATGGCCAAAGTGTATTTCCAATCTGTCACAGGTAGGACAGACAGGCACAGAAAATCCTTGCCCTGCTCATTTCTGGGTTTTCATCTTCGTCTCCCTTCATTTTAATTTTTAATGAGTGTTATTTTTCTCCTCACCATAAGCTGTCCCTGCTTTTTTGCCACTTGGGCGAAGGAAAATGGAATAAATCACGCTCCTCTGCAAGGTCTCGTTGTGAAATTAAAAGTAAATAAATAAATTTATTACAGAGCAGTTCTGTTGATGAATTTGAATTTAGAGAGGAATTAAACCAGCACCTCTCAGCTGCCCTGGTGGCTCCAAGGCTTTTCCTGCCCATTGGAGGCTCCAGGTTGGGATGGAGAAAATCAGCAAAAATTTCATTTCAGCCCAAACCCTTTGGAAACTCCTTAAATTATGGGGACAGGGCAAAAAAAAAGGGAAAATCCAGGAATCCTGACCCCCCCCAGGTCACGTCCTGTCCCTGAGCCAGGGAGAGGCACGGCCACACCCAGCAGTGGAGGTGAAAATCTCAAAAGAAATCTCAAAAAAAACCCAAAAATCTCCCCCCAAAAAAGGCCAAAAAATCCCCCCAAAATCCCCAAAAATAAAAAAGTCCCCAAAACTCCCAAAAATAAAAAAAATCCCAAAAGAATCCCAAAAATAATAAAAAACAAATCCCATAAAAATAAAAAAATAGAAAAATCCCCAAAAATCCCCTAAAAATAACCCCCCCAAAAAAATCCCAAAAATCTCCAAAAATCGAAAAAAGAAAAATCCCAAAATAATCCCCAAAAATAAACAAAAAGAAAAATCCCCAAAATAATCTCCAAAAATAAAAAAAAAAAAAATAAAAACAACAGATTAATCCCATCAAAAAATTAAAAAAAAATCCCAATAAAAATCAAAAAAAAATCCCCAAAAAATAAAAAAAAAATCCCCAAAAATCCCAAAAATTCCCCAAATTTCAGCAGAAAAAATCCCAATAAAAATCAAAAAAAAATCCCCAAAAAATAAAAAAAAAATCCCCAAAAATCCCAAAAATTCCCCAAATTTCAGCAGACCCAGCCCAGAGCGGGGCATAGAAACTCTTAGGCCCGGTTTTAAATCGATGTTCAGCATCAAATAAAAGATTTCTAAAGCCTGGGCAGCCAGGCCCAGCTCTAGGCCTGGCTTTAAACCCGTGTACATTCACCTCCAACAAATCCCTGTTTATTGCTCCGCACAGCGATTTTTTTACAGAAATAATCCCCGTGTAAATAAACTCCCCACCCTGAGCAAACTCGCAGGGATCCCGGTGCAGATTTCTCTATTTTTCAAATAAATCATCCCCACACACCCCTCCTGGAGCTCTGGCAGCTCCAATTCCCAAAATTACAGCTGGAAACAACCCAAACAAACAATTTTACAACTTCCAGAAGTCCCAAAAAAAACCCCCAAAAAATAAAAATATAATTAAAAAAAACCCCAACCCAACATCCCCATCACCCCTCTTTTTTTTTTTTTTTTTTTTTTTTTAAATTGAAATTTTTTTTTTTTTTTTTTTTAATTCTGTCGAATTTGAGGAAATGGGTGACCCAGGGACATCTGCAAACCATTAGGGTCCAGATTTCAGGTAGCTCCCAGCAACACGTGCTGGCCACATTCCACCCTCCGAGGAGATTTCCACAACTTTCCTTCTCCAAATAAACAGTCTGCATTAGGCAGGAGCTGCACAAACAGGTAAAGAGAATGGCAGTTTTATTCCCCCCACCCCTCCTCGACCAGTTCTGATGGATATTTTTTTTTTATTTTTTAATTTTTTTTTTAATTTTTTTTTTTTTTTTTCTTGCAAAGCTGGTGCTTGGGTTCTGTAATTGGAGAGCAGAGCTGGGCTGGTTTGAAATTCCAGCTGATGGGATGATGGCACGGAATTTTGCTCGCTGTGGGGAGGGGAAAAAAAATGAAGATATCGACGTGAGAATGCATCAGGAGTTTAGAGTTGAGGGTGGAATAATTTTTTTTTATCATTATTATTATTATTTTTAAGCAGGTTTTGGAGCTCGTCGAGAAATTTTCATTCTCTCGGACCTAAAAGACATTTCCTGGTGGTGGCACCACCAGGGGACATCCCTGATTTCTAATAAAAATGGGGAAAAAAGGTAGGAAATGATGATGCCATTCCCTGCAGGACATTCCTCTTTTTCTCTGTATCCCTCATTGATTTAAAAAAAAAAAAAATCAGAAAAGTGGGTAAATTGTGCTGGTGATCCTGTGCCACCAGCATTCCCTGCAGGGAATTATTCCTTTTCTCCACATCACTCATTTCTAAGGAAAATATTCCCACCAAGAGATTTTTCCTTTTGTCCTTTTCATTCATTTATAAGAAAAAAAAAATATAAAAATCGGTGAATTATGATGGCGATCCTGTGTCTCCAGCATTCCCTGCAGGGCGTTCTCCCTTTTCTCTGAACCCCTGATTTCTAAGAAAAAATCGGATTCCAATGGGTAGAAAATCCCATTTTCTGCAGCGTTCCCTGCAGGGAATTTTTCCCTTTTCTGGAGAGCTCTGATTGTTAGGAATGAAAATTTTTTTTTTTTTTTTTTTCTTTTTTTTGTCCTCATTCCCAGAGTTTCCCTGGGGCTTGGATCGTTTTTCCCGGGTGATTGGAAGCAGATCCACGGATCTCAGCGTTCCTTGGAGCAGCAAATCCGAGGGGATGCTGTGCCTGGAAAAACGGGAAAATCTAAAAGTATTCCCAGAAATTAAAGCTGCACTTTTGAAGCAAAAAAAAAAGATAATAAATTCATAATAATTCTGTTTTGTTTTTTTTTTTTCCTCCAGGAGAAAACCCTTTGGGAAGGCAGGGGGAACATTTTGGGGAGGGGATTTCCATCCCGATTCAAACGAGAGGGATAAATTTTCCATGTAGGCAAAA